CAAAAGGAAATCAAGGGCCTTTGCAAGAAGGGAAAACTGCACCCTAGCCTATTTCTGAAATTACCCCCAGGCACGTCCATCATTTGAAGTCAGACATGCCTGTTTTATACTAAAAAATATTTTTAAAAGGAAATTTTACTACTTACATGACTTGGCTATGTTATATATATTATATGCAGCCCAAGACAATTCCTTTTCACTCAGTGTGGCCCTAGGAAGCCAGGTGTGTCCCATCAGCAACCATAGGTTGGAATTTTCTGAGAAATACCTAATGAAGAAGTATAGCTAAGTAATACAGGGAACTATAGGTGTTAGGTGAAAACAAGCACTAAACAGTATTTTCATCATGTTCTTTTGAGTTGAGATACTTTTGTGTGAGTGTGTGCATTCCTGGGGATGTAACCCAGGGCCCTGCAGTGGCAAGGCAACCTCCGTACCACTCAGTTACATCCTCTGCCTACATTTACCTCACACTGTGACGTGATGACCGGTCAGAAGCTGTTAGTCAACCCCACAAAATCTTGTCTTTCCAGTCTAGTCTTTTAAGGACTAGACATGTACAGGGTCCTTGGTATTTCAAAGGTTCATTTTCCTAAATATTTACTGGGAGATTTTTCTCTGGCTCCGAATTTATGTGTTAAAATATCACCCAAGGCAAGACAAGTCAAGGCAAAGCAATGGTATTTAGAGTAGAAAGGAATTTCTGGTGCTTTTATGTTTGAAAATTGGCAAGGAAGATAATTAATCCTCCCCACACTCACCTCCCAGTAGGCTTTCTTCATGATTCTGCCTCTCTGCCTGTGTCTGTGTGCTCTTTTCATGCTGTAATTTGAGGATTTAATGGACAATCTCACATGTGTTTGTCTTCATACACCCTCTTAGAGTCGTTAGACGATTGGATCTTTCTATCATATATATCTAGTGGGAATTCAGACTACATTTTCCTTAAAAGGGATATGAACAGGAATTGTAAATTACTAAATTGTCCTTATAAGGACCAGAATTGCACTGATTACTTTTAGAATAGAGTAGTCACTAGACAAAGTAAACTGCTGGTAGAGGCATATGCCTGATTATTTCAAAGGGTTTCTATGTCTGGAAGTTCCAAATTATTTTGTTGATACACTAATGTTTGAGCACCAAGGTTTTAGATTTTTAGAGTTTTGAACCCAAGTTATAAAATCTTTCCATTTTCAATTATTAAATATCAAAAGGTAATTTGTACAAAGGGCTGTAGCAAGTAGTGACACGCATTTCACTGAGTGCTGTGCATTCAAAGTGAAGACATTCACTACAGCTCAGGTAAATGAGGTCATGGTCACAACTCTCCTAAGGGAGCCAAATGTGTTGTCAGTTAATTAGCCAAGTTCATGGATGGATGAATGAATTAATGAATGGTATTCTTACTGCCTTCACCTCTTATCTCATAAAACAACAGCCAAGGGAATGGCTTGGCAAACCTGTAGGCAAAGAAGATTTTAGTAAAGGTAACTCCCAGCCTGTCATGATAGAGACACTGAAAGCTAAGTGGGAGATGTGGACCCGGAGAACAGACCTTAGTCTCCAAATGCATTGCTGTGTAAGCTGTTTCAGATCTTAAAAAAGAAAGAATAATTTCATTTTTTTAAAATTAAGTAATATCATCTTGAGACCCAAACCTAGTAAAACCTAAAAACAAAAATAGACAAATTTATGTAGGAATTAAAGAAAAACCTCCTGAAAAAATACACTATATTTTGCACTATATAATAGTGCATTGAGCAAGGGAATCTTAATCCAGTGATTAATGGATGCTTCAATAGGAAAAAATATAAATTTATTATAAAAAAGTTTTAAGGGGAAAATCATGATTTGTCTTGCTATTCAGTGAAAATACATCTGATTAAATGTAATCACCATTCTCTATAGTAACACTCAAAAGTAGAAAAATATGACTACTTTCTTAACTAGATAAAAATAAATCTAGAGGGCTGGGGATTTAGCTCAGTGGCACTGTGCCTGCCTGGCAAGAGCAAAGTCCTGAGTTTGAGACCTGGTACGGGGGGTGGGGGACTAAGCCCCAGAGGCAAAAGTATGACATTTAAAGTCGTCCACACTAAAATTAGGAACTAGACCAAAATGTATGCTTTTATTAGTTAACATTCCGAATGTGCTGTTCAATGCAAAGAAAAAGAGAAGGCAAGTAAGCTGGGCATAGTGGCACCTGCCTATAATCTTAGTACTCTGGGAGACTGAGGCAGGAGGATCACAAGTTTGAGCCCAGCTTGAGCAACTTAGCAAGACTCTGTTCCAAAAAAGAAAAAAAAATTTTAAATCAAAAACTTCTGGGGATTTAGCTCAGTGTGAAGTACTTAGTTTCAGCCCCCAGTACCACACACACAAAGATTAGTAAAAATGATAAAATACATCAAGAGGCAATAAACAAAAACGTTAAGGAAAAATTTAAATACTAAGAACACAAAGAAAGACTTGCACAAATGTAAAACACCACATTCTTACGAAGACTCAGCAGAGCTAGGTGTGGTGGCACATACCTGTGATCGCAGCTGCTTGGGAGGCTGAGCAGGAGTTTCCCAAGTTTGAGGACAGCCTGGGAAACTTAACATGATGCTGCCTCAAAAACAAGAAATAAAAAGGGCAGGAGGTGTTGCTTAGTGTTGCAGTGATCCTTCTATCTCATCCTCCTGAGTAGTTGGGATTGCACTCATGTGCCACCACAGGTGGCCTTAAATTTATTTTAAAATTTAACCAAGTCCTAGTGAAAACACTATCAGAGTCAATTCTGAAGCTCATGTAAAATAGCAAACAAGATTAGCCAAAAAAGTATTGAAAAGTATTGTGATAGGGAGAGAGAAATTAGCTCTGCTTGACATTGAAATACATTTTTAAAAGTTTTATGAAAGACTTAGCAATGAAACTAATGCAGTAATGGTGTATGAATAAACAGACCAAAGGAGCAGAATAAAAAAATCTAGAAATAGACTCAGGTATACCCAAGAATTGGAAATTTCAAATGGCTTTTTATTCATGAAATAACATAAACTTGCCACCTTCCTGCCTCAGCCTCCCAGTATGCTGGAATTACAAGTGTGGACCACCATGCCTAGCTTGAAAAACTGTATGTTTGTTTGTTGGTTAGTTTTTGTTTTGAAAAACTGTTTTAAAGTCAACAAGTTGTCAAAAAAATCCAAAAGCTGGGCTGTGGATTTATCTCAGTGGCCTGCCTCACAGGCTTGAGGTCCTGAGTTCAATCCCCAGTCCTACAAAAAAATAAAATAAAATAAATAAAAAATGTCACAACACTTTCACAATTGCTGGGGATAAGTTGATTTGATCTCTTTGAAAACATCTTGGTAGTATCAAAACCAGTTACAAAAGTACTCTTCCTTTGACTCAGCAATTCCTCTTTTGCATTTTGCTTAACAGATAATGCATATAAGCAACACAGATATCTACTGAAGGTCCTTCATAGCAGCTTTGCTTTGCATTGCCAGCCCAAGGCGACTGGTTAAACAAGTTAAGAGAAAGCCCTATAGTGGAATTCAATGGAACAGTAAGAAAAGAACAAGGAAGACAGTCTGTTGATGTGAAAGAGCTTCAAGGCATTTGTCACGTGAAAAAAGCAAGACAGATATCAATGTGTATGATATACCATATTTTCATGCAGAAAATAGAGGAAATCTGTAGGTTTTGCTTGTTGTGTATTTAGAAAGAGACTGTAGAAAGATGTATTTACAAAAACAAGAAGAGTTTTGTTATCTGTGGAGGAGATGAAGATTAGGTGGGAAGTGGTAGATAGTGAACCCTATGTCTGCCCCACTTCTTTTGAGGTTCCGAAATTGAACCAGGGTCTCACGTATTTTAGGCAGGTCCTCTACCACACAGCTACATGCTTAGTCCCCTTTGCATTTTTGAACCAGGCAAATGGTTAGCCTACTCGATAAGTAGATGAATCAACAAGAAAGCTCATAACCATATGGTGAGATGCCATGTACTGTTAAAAGAGAAAAAGACTAAGAGTGGTTTCTGTAAATCGATAGGGGAAAATCTCCAAGGATGCTAAATGTAGAATATAATATGCAGTATGCTCCTTTTTGGAGACGAAAAAAAAGGAAATCTAAGAATACTTTCCTGGTTTTGCTGTAAGTGTGCAAGAAAACTTTGGAAGGACACTCGGTTGGCGAATGTTGTGACAGCTGCCAGATCCCTTCACTTTTTGCAGGCGTGAAAGTGCCTTGGCCCAGCTGCCGGGAGTGCTGTTGGCAGACAGCCTTCAGCTGACCGCCCTTCTGGGGCCAGATGGCTTCCTTTGGAGGAGGTTGCATCCTGAGAGGTCGCCACCCTTCCTAGGGTGACCTTACCCAGTGAAGGATCAGCATGGCAGCAGCGTGACAGGCAGCCCTGAGGCAGCTCTGGAACATTAGAAGCCCCTTTCTTTCTCTCCCTGTTAACTATCTGTTATTTTGCTCCCCAAGTTATTTATACTTTGGGACTATAATATAAGAGAAACCATGCGATATTTAAGCTTGTGTGTCTGATTTATTTCACTTAATGTTAGTCCCAGTACACATGTATCCTTCTACATTGGCAGAGTAGTGTTCCATTGTGTATAATAAACCCCTCATTTCCATTACTCATTCGTATGCTGATGGACGTACAGGCTGCCTCTAAAGTTTAGCTCTCAAGAGCTGTGAGAAGCCCCTATTCCTTGGTGGTTGGGAAGGACCTGGAGCTTGGTGAAGGGGGATAATGTTAAGAAGTAGACATTTCACTCTGTCTTTTTTACAATTGAAAAACATCTTTTTGTACTAGCAGTTGCACAATTTATAGAAATGTAAGTGAAAATTTTAGTTAACATGATATGGCAGTGGTACTTTGTCCATGTATGTGTTTAGAAAGTTATTTATTCATTTAATTTGCAAGGAGATATTTTAGTGCAAAATACAGTGCTCACCACACTCTAATGTGCTTTTCTTTTTCTGTTCTGTTTTTGTTTTTAGGACCTACAGAGAACACTGACTTGATTCCACCTTACGATGGAACGTAAAAAGTCACCTGACGGTGGATGGGGCTGGGTGATTGTGTTTGTCTCCTTCTTCACCCAATTTTTGTGTTACGGCTCCCCGCTAGCGGTTGGAGTCTTATACATAGAGTGGCTGGATGTCTTTGGTGAAGGGAAGGGAAAAACAGCCTGGGTCGGGTCGCTGGCAAGTGGAGTTGGTTTGCTTGCAAGTAAGTGGATACGTTTATGCCTCTCCTTACTATTTAATCATCTAATTACATCTGTTGCATCATTTGCTTTATGCAAGGCTCTTTACTTTAAAAAAGGAATAACATATATTTTCCAGTTGTCTTTGAGAAGAGGGCATCACTCTCTCTCACTGTAATAAATCTGTGTGAAAATCCAGGAATCCCTAAAGGTAGCCAATCATGCCTTCATTCATTTCTTTATTTGTTTAATCGCTACTCGGTGCCAGGCGGTGGGGTAGGTGCAGAAAATGAAAAGCTGAATCACAAAGGCATGAATGGTTCCTCCCTTCCAAAGCTCACTGTCTAGTGAGGGACACACGTGCTTCTAAGAGTGGAATCAGCGGTGTGGCCAGGGTATGTTGGTGGCTATTGCTCTGTTGCCCTCTAACTAATTTCCATGTGACTCTTGATTGCTGCTCTCTGACTGAGCTACGCTGCTCAAATTCAGCGTGCTATATTTATGACGACTTTATGAGAAAAATCTGACATAGCAATGTGTAGTCCTGTCTCACAATGATGCTGTTGCTAAGGATTTTAACATAGTTTTATATTTCTGTTGTATTTTGTGTGTCTGCAAAATTAAATTATGATAAGTGGTTCCACGTGACATAACGACGTCTATGTTTAGAGATGATGTAGCAGGTTTTTATTCTCCTTTTTACTGTTAACACTGTGTACCACTTCGACTTCCGGAGTCAGAGTTTGAACTCGACATTAATATTCATCGATCATCATTCTCACTTCCTATTTAAGCACAGATTTGCTAAGATGGTGACATAGATGGGGTCAGTTCTCCAGATGTCCCTTTCCTTAAGCTATGAAGTTGGCAGGATTCATTGAGCACATCACACTCTCTATTCTTGTGGGGAAAATTAGCGATTTGAAAGATGCTTTTGAATTCTAAAACGGATCCAGGAAAATGTGTTTACAACACAGTGCGTTAGCCACTCCTCCTTCAAAGTACATCGCGTTTCAGCTTTTTAGGGGCGCTCTTTTGGGAAGGGAAGCAGTTGCTTCCAGCTGTTGATACTTTTCTCAAATTAAAAACAAGATGCACGAGACTAGAAAAACAATGCTGGGTCATCTGGGTGCGTCAGATAAGGTAACTAAATCTAACTAAACAAATGAAAATAATACTGTCACTATGAGTTCAAGAATAACAGGCAAAGTTTGTCCAGGATTTGTTTGAAAGAGTTTTTAAAAATAAAGATTGCTTGTAAATCAATCAAAATGGAAGTGAATAGTAACAGATATGTTAATAAAGGGATTTAAAAATACTGTGTTCTAGGAAACAAGTTGGCTTGGAGATGAGTGAATATTTTCAAATGTTTTCTAATTAGTCACTGTTTCTATTTAATAAACACAATCAAAATCTAATTGCCCTATAAGGGTCAAAAGATAATTGAAATGGTGTCCCCATTGGCACATAGTTGGAGGACAGAGTTTCTTTTCATAGTTTGTCCAGGCAAGAGAAGAAGCACTTGAGATCTCCTCCAGCAGGAAGCCTTGGTGTCCGTCACCATTTTCACTGAGGGGACTTTCGTATGTCATTTAACGTCTCCAGGAGTAGTGTCATCAACTGGAAGGGGCAGCCTTTGATCTGCTGATCAAACCTTTTGAAGATAAACACGGAAAAAAGAGAGCAGAGAGTTCGTGCATGAGGAAATGATGGAAAAATGATGGCTTAAAATCTGACACTTAGAGGAGGGTGTGCATGTGTGTGTATGTGCTTGCGCTAGTGTACTTTTAACGTTATTTCCAGCTGTGAACATAGCTAACTCTATTGAGCATATTGAAAGTTGTTTTCCTTTGGTTCTTTGTGGCATAAATTAAGCAATAAATCTTGGAAACTGTGGTTATATTGTATTGTGTCTAGCAGTACATGAACCACACTGACCATCTACTCTCTTGACAACTTGGTTTTGTTGAAAAAAGTCATATCAATACTACCTGGGAAGCAGGACAAGTATATTTCACATTGTTGACTCACATGGTTATCAGTAATCTCTCCCTTTCTCTCCCTTTCTCTCTCTCTCTCTCCTCTCTCTTTGTCTCTCAATTAAATCGAACTCAGGGCCTTTTCACTGAGCCACATTCCATGCCCTTATTATTATTTTTTTTTTATTTTGAGAAAGATTCTCTGTAAATTGCTAAATTGCCCAGGCTTAATCTGAACTTGAAATACTGGCCTCAGACTCCTGGGTGCTGGGATTACAGGAGCACACCATCGCACCTGGCTTCTATCGGTTTTTGCTAACCAGGGAGATAATTAGAATCATTTATAGAACATTGGAGCATATAATTGCCTGGCTTTTGACCCTAAGCTAATCTAATTCAGGTGGCCTATGATGGCATTCAGATACTTTTTTTTTTTTTTTAGTGTCTTGGGGATTGAACCCAGGATGTTGTACCACTGAGCTACACCCTCAGCCCCATGAATTTTTTTCTGAAGACCCAATAGTGATTTTTAGTTGGAAACTACCACTGGTTGAAGCTTTCTTTAATGATATTTTAATTTTTATATAATTCTCTGATGTTCAGTTTGTCTCAACTTTTTGCATTTATAAGGAGGACTACTTTAGGCTTCTGCATTGGTGTGGCATTGCTCACGCCACATATATCACAAAAAGTATATGTTCTGTGACCCTTGTTCTGCTGGGGCTCTGGTGAAAACACAATAGATAAATAGATATCATTGCATTCTTACAAGTTTATTTATGTGTATGTCTTTATATACATATATCTATTTGATAAGTGGTGAACTTCATATTCATGTATAGTTACTCTTAAAGTGGGGTATATAGGGATTATTTGAGCTTGCATATAAAGCCACTTTTACCTGCCAGTGGGTCAGGGGCAAAGAGGAGGTCCCCGGTATTTGCCTTTTAACTACTCCACAGTCCATTCTGATGCACCAGGCTATGCCGCTGTACCAGAAAAACATTAGCTATTTTCTTTGCCTACTTTTGTCCAGAGAAAGCCAGGTTGGTGTCATCCTTGATTAATTCTGTGCTCTGACCTCCAAACTGTCCAAGGCACAGTAGAATAAGTACATTTGCCAAGCAATATAGACACTGTACATTCATTGTACTTTTCCCTGTAATTCTCTAAAAGTCCCTCTATGCTAGCTTCATACCAGCCACTTTCACTTGCTTGGTCTTAGTTCACCCCCTTAACGGCACAATGAACCTTTTTAATTTTTTGCCGTACTGGGGATTGAACCCAGGGTCCTTTCACTGAGCTATACACCTAGCCCTTTAAAAATTTTTTTAAAAATTTTTGAGACAGGTTTTCCTTTAATTTTGAATAATTGACGAAAAACATTTCTTTGTTTTACCTGAGGTATTTGTTTGTCCAGATGATGCTTGGGGTGAAAGGAGCTGGGAAAGTCCTTCCTCCCTGGCTTGCACATTGCCAATAAGTTCATCATCATGACACATTTATAGGTTCTCTGTTGTGCTAAGGATCTCACAATAGGTGGTGCCCATTGTGTTTATAAGGGATCTATAGATTTAGGGGAGAGATAGAAAAAAAGGTCACTACTAATTTGAGTCTTCACAAATACCAAGGGGAATAGCAAAGAAGAAATAATCTCAGGTTTGATCACTGAGGATAAAATCAACTTTTTGAGATCAAAAAACAAAAACCAAAAACAATAAAACCACACTTGGGGATAGGATTGTAATCCTGGAAAACACAGATTCAAGCAGTTTTGAGAATGTACTTTGAGGTAGCTGTATTAATAGCATTAAACTGCATGGGGGTTGGAAATTACATAACTTGTTAGGCAGGAATTCTGACTCCTGCTTGCAAAAGTAAATATAGCTTAAAAGAAAGGGATTGAGTATGGTTTCAATCTTAAGGTAATTTGGGGGAAGAAAAGGTTGTACAGAGATTGGCAAAGGTTAACAGTGTCAAAGGTTAACTTTGATAGAGGTTAACCAAGTGGGTGTTTCTGCAGCATAGTTCCAAGGTTCAGCTGTGGATGTGTCAGTTCTGATTAACCAGGGCTTTCTGACTCCATTTTAAATGCTCCAAACTGGGCTACTTCATTTTGATTATTTTCTTGGACAGGTGTTGCCTGGGCAAGTCTGGTCTGTGCACAGGTGGAGACCAGAGTGTGGGAAGGAATCAGATTTATTCAAGGGCCACGATCTTGAGAAAATACAGGGGCTCCAGGCATAAAGCTCCATCTTAGGAGATTCTAGGAATTTTTACAGGGCAAGAAAGTTTAATGATGAGGTGCTGAGTGGGCTCTTCATCATCTAAGACATGCGTCTCCTTTCTCTTCTTTCAGAAGACCTCCACCTCCTTAGGTAGCTTCTGTATTTCCTCTGGGACAAAATTAAAGACAAAGGAAGGGTGCTACAAATGTTTGGGGTTCTGTAAATCCAAAGACACTTAACATCTAGGTGGGGTTCTCTTTTGAATTTGGTTTGCCAAGCCAAAGGGAGGGGACCTAAATGGATTAAGGGAGAGGCAAGGCAGAGGCAAACAGGAGGGTAAGTAGTAAAGGCCAGGAACTGCTACTCGAAAGAGCTACCTGGTAGCTTTATAGAGATTGTCTTTGAGATGGGCCAGATGGGAGGATGCACTCTTACAGGTAGACAGACAGGGAGAGGGCAATCTGCACTGCAGATGACATTTTTGGTGGAGTAAATTTGGCTGGAGAAGGATTGTGCTGGGAGGTGTGATGAGCAGTTACCTGTGTCAAGTTAGCTAAACTGCATTCCCTGGCTCTCATCTCAGCATTGCTGTGGAGGTATTTTCCAAGTGTAAATAAAGTCTATAATCAGTTAACTTTCAAAAAGGGAGATTATCCTAGATAATGTTGGTGCCTTTGATTGAATCTGTTGCAAAGTGGGAAGAGCAGAAGTGAGCTTTTCCCAGGAGAGATACTGCCTGAGGGCTGCAGGTCCAGCCTGTGCCTAAGAGTTCCAACTTGCCCTTCCTGATGGACCTGCCCCATGAACTGTGGACCTGCCTACCTTGTAAAGTATCGCCTCACAATAAATCTCTTAAGTGGATTTTTTACTGGTTTTGTTTGTCAGGTTGAAACCTGACTTGTCCAGGAAGAACAGAAGGTAACAACTAAAGGACACTGATAGCCTTGCAGTTTTAAAATGAACCAAAGCACCTTTTGGTTGGATGCCATTCATCAAATTCAAGGAGATGGGTGGGGCCATTTTTCAGACTACCTAGTTGCTGAAACAGCAGGGAGATCTTTTGTTCTTACTTTTGTACCTAAAGCAGGCTTAATTATGGGTATCACTGCAATTTTGTGTAAAAGGAGCATACTGGGCCAGGGATTTAGCTCAGCGGTTCGGTGGTGTGCCTCGCAAGCACAAGGACCCGAGTTCGATCCCTGGTACCACACACACACACACACACACACACACACAGACTCACACACACCCAAAAAGCATACTGAAGGATGTACAAAACCCACATCTGTTCTTTAGGAATATTTTATTGATGAATTATTCACTTTAATTTTATGCATTTTATTAGATTCATGAGTACTTAATGGTTAAAATATCAAAAAGTATTGAATTTTTATTATTTATTGTTTATAAAAAAGCATTAAAATTTTCAACATTGACTTTTGGTTTATGAAGTCTAAAAATAACAACAAAAATAAATTCCTCTTTGAACCACAGTGAAAACACCATTAGAGCTCTACAACAAAAATAATCTTTTCTCTAATTTCGCACCTAAGGCAGTCTTCTAACATGACAACAGCATGTTCCATCCAGATGTATCTTTTACACTAACAGCACATGTGCTTAGCTTTCCTGTCTATTTTGTAGGACATACTTGATATCTTGCTGGCCTTGCTGTTTTGTCAGGTGTTTTTTATTATATTATACAATATGTTATTAACAGGAATATAAAATATCAATAAAATAATTAAATTTTAATAGGTATTGCATATTTAGAATAAACATCAACATGTTCACATCAGCTGTATATTTGCTTACAAAACCTAAATAATAACATCAGAAATAAATTCCTATATGAACTACTATGAAAATACTCATAGCACTCTACAATAAAAATAATCTTTGCTTCAATTGTCACACTCAAGGCAGTCTTCATACATAATAACTACACGTTCCATACATCTTGTGTGGCTTACACTGATATCACGTGTGCATTGCTTTTCTGTCCTTTTTGTAGGCTGTAATTGACATCTCACTGGTCTTGCTGTTTTATCAGAAACTTCTTACTATATTGCACAATGTGCATTTAGCAGGAAAATAAGATATCCATAAACTAAAATAGAACATCAAATACATCGTAATGAGCACTTAGAATAGACATCAACATTTTCACATCAGCTGTGTACTTGCTTACAAAACCTAAAAGATAACATCAGAATTAAATACCTGTGTGAACTACAGTGTAAATACAGACAAAAGTCTGCCAACAAAATAATCTTTGCTTCAATTGTTGTACCCAAGGTACTCTTCACACCTGACAACTGCATGTTCCATGAACAACAATCACTTATAGCACCTACGTTTTGTTTTCTTGTCCTTTCTTGTTGTTTTATTTGGTACCAGGGATCGAATTTGGGACCTAGTGCTTGCAAGGCAGGCAGCAGAACCACTGAGCTAAATCCCTGACCTGTTCTTGTCCTTTTTTTGTAGGACACAGCTGACATCTTTTTGGTTTTCCTGTTGTCATAGTAGGTTTTTGTCATGTTGTATCTGCCTGTCCACCTGTGAGCTCAGTAGTGTGTTCTGCATTTTTTTGGTGTTCCTGGGGCAGAAACATTTTGCTCTTACTCTGTTACAAATGATTTCTTATGAATTCTAGAACCAATACTCTAAGAAAATTTCTCCATGATATTTTGTACTTGTTATTTTTTTGGTAAACTATCAAACTGCCACACGTTTAGGTTCAAGTAAAATACAACCACTGGCCAACTCTTTGTGTTTAGGGTGACATCATAGCTGCTGCATAACTCATCAACAAAAGCTACTCCATTTTTAGTTTTGTTGTAAAAAATTGCCATCTCAGGCTTCAGTTTTGTTGAAGTTTTTCTTTCAATTTTTCCATCATGATGCAATGGTGACATCAGCAGTACCATTTTGTTTTTCTTTGCCATACACAAGGCCAATGTTACATCTTTCTGAAATCCAAAATTGGACTATACAATTCTATTTGCAGGTGCAACATTTCATTGGGAATTTCTGCTTTGTTCTTGTGTACTGTTCCTGTGCTGGTCAACTTGTGCTCTGTTAGCAAATGTCACATGATCAGAAACTGGTAAACTGATTGTTAAATGTCACATTTTGATTAGTTTGGGAGATGGAAGCAATGTCTGTTCACAGTATGATTTGGTTCATTACTATATGAGTAAAGATCTGGTGGCTGAGTTTCAGGGTAAATTCCTAAATTGAAAATATATATATTTGCATCTAGCAGGGCATCTACTTATATATTTTGAAGGTTTTTGGGGGGCATATACTGCCTACAGCTAGTGGCCAGGTTTTTCATATGCCATTGTACTGAACTAGGCTACTTCTACAGGAAAAATTCAAAAGGAAACTTAAAAAAAAAAGCCCTAAATGCGAGAAATTCAATGATGCAAATTTCATGGGTAAAACTCACCTGTTGCTCCTTTGGAGGTCCTATGCATACCTTGCTCTTCATCTGCCAAGTGGATGAATGTACACATGGGTTCCTGTTTTCTCCAGGCACAGCTACTGTGAGCCACAGCCAATTTCCACTATGGCAAAATAGATGTTTGCAGAACAGAAGAATGGCATGGGCATATTTTGCCCTCAAGTATACATGCACAGTACATGGATCATTATGTGAGTAAAAATACAATTTGACACTTTTGCACAAGTGTACACACCTTGCTATCATACCAAACAGGTGAACACAAAGATAATTTTCTGTACCCCTTAGGCTCAGCTACTGAGTTCCACAGCTCGCTACCATCATGCTAAAGTACATAATTTCATTGGAAAAGTATGGAATGGGAATTTTTACCATAGGAGGAGAATGACATGGGTGTCTTTTAGCTCCTATAATGCTCAGTGATGCATGTGCAAGAACTGTTACACAGACCATTATGTGTATAAAAATCTTGATATGACACCTTTGCACAGGTGTACACACCTTGACACTCATCATAACAAGTGGGTGAACACAAGGATTGTTAATTTTGTATCCCTCAGATGCATCTGCTGAGATGCACAGCCAGCTACCATACACCAAAGTATATAATTTCATTAGAAAAGTATAAATGGGTTATGGTAACCCACAATAATGCCCCGAGTTAACTATTCCCTCCCTTATTTTTCCCCTTAATTCCTCCAGCCTTCAAACTCTTTATGAATCAGTACACTAATCCTCAAGATAATAGTGAGGCACGCTTGCTAAAAGAGTTCAGGGTGCTGGCAGAGTTGGGTTGAACAGTAGCTTCCAGCATGCCTCACTCTTTTAAGGAAGATGGGATTCCTGCAGCCCACAGGATTTTGTTCCTCTGGCCAGTTCCCAGTGTACCAGGCAGTTCCAGAAGTGGTGAGAATAATGGCTGGGTTTTGGATACATATTCTAAGAATGAGGGTAAAACAACGTGTGGTAAGTTAAGCAAGTGATCATAAATATTATGAAATACCAAGTGATTGTGAATATTATGTTTTTGTCTGATGTAAGTTCATAAAAGTACTTACTCTGTACAATATTAACAAAAGTGCTTTGGTGTTTTTCACTCGTGTTTTGACTTTTAGGTGAAAAATTAGATACTGATTGAAATACTTTTCAAGGGGGAAGAACACTGGGCTGATTTTGGCCTTAGCCCTGTCTTTGACTAGCTATGGATACTTGGTCAAAACACATGATCTTCCTGAACTCCAGTAGCATCCTTTTTAAGGTGAAGCATTTGAGCCATTCCAAGGCCTCTTTCTCTTCTAAATTTTGTCTTTAATTTCTCACATCAAGATTCCCCCTGTAATTTAGCGGCAGATGGTAGTGTAAAAATGAGATTAAAAAAAAAAAAACAGCCTTTCAATATGCTGTTTTCATCTGTCAAATTTTTGCTCAGCTCTTCCTAACAACATTTTTTGGAACGAGCCATGTGTTAGGCAAGATTGCTCACAAGCTGGGCATGGTGGAGCATGCCCATCGTCCCAGCACTCAAAGGATGAGGCAGGAGGGCATTGAGTTCAAAGCCAACCCGGGATATATACCATGTGTCACCCAAAATAAGACCTAGCCAGAAAATAATCAGCCTTGAGCACTAGAGATCCACAATGCCAGCCCCAATCAGCCCATCCTTGCCTTACCTTCCATCACTGTTCTCTTGCTTGGTGGCTACTCCGTAAGGCAGGTTTAAAAAAAAAAAAGACAGGCTGATTGGGGCTGGCTTTTTGATCTCTAGTTTTCAAGGCTGATTATTTTCTAGTTAGGTCTTATTTTCAAGGAAGGAGGAAGTAATGAGACTTTGTCTTGAAAAACCAAAAAACAAAATTAAAAAACCAGAAAACAAACAAAAGAGAATTTACCACATTATTTATAATAATATTATATATTTTATAAAACATTGGTTTTGGTTATACACATTATAAAAATTAGTATTCTTCACCCTGACTTTCAGACACCCTTGTGTTTCTTTGTGGAGTTAAATGCACCAAGGGTCATATATTTAAAGTTTTATTCTGAGAGTGCAAATTGGAACATTTCAAGCATGCCAGTAATTATGTGTTTCAATTTCATTGTGCCTGTTAAATTTATGAATGCTAACCATCTGTGTCAATAAAGTTTGGTAAATGACAAAAAAGGGTTGTGCTTTATTTTGTCAGACATCTATCTAGTCGTGAAATTTGACCTTTAAACCCATTTCTACGTTTGAAGTATCTAAATATTTCTCTTCGCACATGGAAACAGCTCAAATATTAGATGACAAGTTTGATGTTGCAAATGGATTTTCCTTTAAAATACTGCTGCAGAGTATTCCCCTATGTTTGTCATGTATCTCTTTTTCCTTGGCTCACACAAGAGGGCAAGGCAATGACAGAAACCAGTTCATGAGCAGGGAGGAATGTGGGAGAGCCATAAGCATGGGGAGCAGGACGGTCATAATCTGGTCTTGCATACACGCCTAAAGGATTCCAGTGTTGGAAGACTGGAGGTTTAGGGTTGTTGGATCCTGGCTCTGCCACTTACCAATAGTGAGGCTGTGGAAGGATTTCATCACTTTTCAATCTGTGGTAACTTAGGAAAGATCCACATAGAATATCCATACAGAGGAGCACATGTCATGAGAACAAGGTGTGATGACTCTGCACAAGCAGAGCACACCCAAGTGATCACGCACACTAAGACCCAGCACACAAGCAGCTCCTGGAAGTTCAGTGATGCTTCTGACTACTACGCTTGCTCTTCTTACTACTAGCTTCTCCCTGCAGGGCAAAACACTGTCCTGATACATTAATCTTGCCTGTCATGTATGTTTTACAATTGGAATTACACGATTTGTACTTTTTATGTTGGGTGTCCTGCTCCACGTATTTGTGAGGCTAAATCCACACTGTGATGTGTAGCTGTGGGCTGTGCTTGTTAACATATGGAAGACCATTGTACAAATATACTACAATTTGCTCGTACACTCTACTGCTGATGAACATGTGAGCTTCTTGGTTTTAGCAATTATCAAGAGTTCTGCTATGGATATTTATGTAGCTAACTTTTGATACAGCATTTCTATTGGATAAATATGTAGAATTGGAACTTCCGGGTTTAACAATGTGCTACATTCCATTTTGGTAGATAAGGCCAGCAGTATATAAGAATTCTGCTTGCTCCGCATACTTGTTACCACTTGGTCTTGTTTGTCTCAGACAGCCAGTGGTGCACTGTAATATTAGAAGTTGGGTACTGTTCTTATTCCAATTTTCAGATGAGGAAACTAAAGCACAGAGAGGAAACTACATGAAAGTATTTGATTTTAAATAAAGCTGGAATTTAAATAAAGTCTGAGTCCCAAACACTCATTTTTAGGCTATGTGATCTTCCCAACCCTTAACATCTTTTTAAAAAATCTTTATTAAATAGTTTATTGATACATTTTAGGTATACAATACAATTACATTCATCATAGGGGATCTTGTGCCTTTTTTTTTTTTCTTTTTTTGCTCTATTTTGTTTTGAGACCGGTTTGCTATGTAGGCCACAAATAGCCTCCAACATGATATGTAGTGTAAGCTGGCTTCAAACTCTTCATTCTCTTGCCTTAGCCTCTAGAGTGCTAGGTTTAAAGACATGTGCCTACTTCTTAAGTTCCTTATAAAAAATGGGAATAACTAGTATTTACCTTCCAGGGCCTAAGATGAAATGAGAGGTCGTTTATAGGAATACCTCACATAGTGTGTAGCACATAGCAAATAGTAGTGCATATGTTTATTTTTGGTGTGGTTTTATGATGGAAAGAGATATTTTGAACTTATACTGTATAGATTGCTTCATTATGGGAAAGGGGTTACTGTTAAATAAATGGAGATTTCAATTTTTTTTTTTGTAGGTCCCATCTGCAGTCTCTGTGTCTCGTCTTTTGGAGCAAGATCTGTCACAATCTTCAGTGGCTTCATGGTAGCTGGAGGCCTGATGTTGAGCAGTTTTGCCCCCAATATCTACTTTCTGTTTTTGTCTTATGGTATTATTGTAGGTAAGGAACTTGTTCACAATGATTTTTCTAACTTTACAAATCACGTGCCATTTCACTTGTGTCAAGTATATTACTCAGTTCATGTAAGGAGCTTTACTAATCATTCACTTTTAGGACCATTTCTCCCAAAGTTGTTACTTTAATAGCCTGTCTCCTTCAAGGCACAGGACAATGGGTTTCCATGTTAGCACTTGTCTCTAAATAGCACAAAAAAGGACAAGTGAGAAGAAGAAAATAAAACTTAGATGTCATGGCATCTGTCACTTCTCAGGCTTAGGAAGCGTCCCCTGTCCCATTGGGCAGTCAAACAGGACTCTGTTGAGATATTTGTGTTCACAAATAGCTCTTTGCGATCTACAATACCTTTTGTCAGGCCCAAATCAAAAGTTACAATGGAAGTAACAAGTATATTTTAAGGCACGTGGTTGTTTTGTTATGGTTTTGGGTTTTTGAGACAGGCTCTCACTGTGTACTCCAGTCTGGCCTTGAACTCCCTATGTAAATCAGACTGACCTCAAACTCATGATGACCCCCCTGCCTCAGCCTCTGAGGGCTGAAATTATGGGTATGTGCTCCCATGCCTGGCTTTTTTATTTTAAAATTTTTGTTTTAATTTTTATTTTTAGAGATAGGCTCTTACTATGTAGTTCAGGCTGACGTTGAGCTTACACAAGTCCTCCTGCCTCACCCTCCCAAATGCTGAGAGCCACCATGCCCAGCAAACCGATTCCTCATGTGGACCTTCTCAAGTGGCCTGGGGACTCTTCTCAAATCCAAGTTTTTCAAAGGAGTTTATGTTTTCACTTTTACACTCTCGAACCAGTGAAGGGTAGGGCCTTAACTGATTACTTAGATACCTTCAAGGCATCTTTCCTATTGTCCTAATGCAAAGTATTTGGCTTCTTTTCAATGCTAATCTTTTCAGCAAATATGCTGTCCTTTAATCTTGCAGGTTCTTTCTAGTGAAACTCAAATCTTTACAATTCATTCAGCTATGCCATTTGCTCTGAATTCTCCGTGTGGATCTGGCTAAAAGCCAACAACTGTACCTATTCCACAGCCTGAATATTGGGCTGCCTTGAAATTTCCTTCACCAGATTCACTAATATACTACCTTTAATCTCAGTCTCCCACAGAGTTTGAGGACATGAGCATAACCAGAGTATAACATATGTGGTCCATAGTACAACTGCCCATGGAGCCTTTATTTCTAACTGAAACCTCCTGAGGCTGATCTTTCTGATCTTTACTGTGTACATTTCCATCAGTGTTCTGATCTTCTGAGCTCTAACTAGAATCATCAAGATCAGCTTACCTCTTTCTAGGGCTGCTCTAGCCTGCATCTCCAAATTTTTCAAAACTCTTCCTGTGAACCAGTTCCAAAGGCTTCTAAACTACCTGGTCAAGTAATCACGGTAACAACCCCATTTCTTTGGTACCAAAATTTGTCTTAGACATTTTCTCATCACTAAAACACAATATCCAACACCCACAACTGAAAGAGGAGAGGTTTATTTGGGCTCATGGCTTTAGGTTTCAGTCTATAGCCTGCTGACTCCAAGGCGGAAACTGCACTGTAGAAGGGCCTAGGCCAGGGAAAGCTGCTCACCTCATGGCAGCCAGGAAGCAGAAAGAGAATGAGGAGCCAGAGAGGGCAGCATACTCTTAGAGAGAGCTCTCAGTGACCTGCCCTTTTTTCACCCAGGCCTTACCTTCTAATGTACCTATACCACATTCAGCTATATCATCCCCATGATCAATTCATCTTCCAAAAACCCTGCCTTGAGAGCAGTTTGGGTTATTAAAGAGGTACCACTAAATCAGAAATAGTTGTGTAATAGATTAAAGAATATAGAAAATGAAATTAAGCCTATATTAGATATCCAATTACAATCTAAAATATCAGAATAACATTGACATATATTATTTGGCATAATTCTGTTTTACCCATTAATTGACCTTTTAAGAAATATAATCTTGAAAATATGTTATGTTGTTTAGGTTTTTATACCTCAAGTAAAATGGTAGCTTGCTAATTTTCAAGTGAATCTAAGCCACACAGCCAAACGTATAACTCAGACTTCTATTTTCTCAATAACTTCACCAAAGCAGGAGGCAGACATTGTGGTGTGAGGTTAGGGATGTCGTGAGAAGGGTGGTGGTGATATAAGGAAATGCATCCTACTGAATTATTGAATCTTCTTTCTCATTAGTTATTTTTGTTTTTCTGAAAAGAATACTTCATATCCATTCTTTGCATTCTTTTTTCAGAATTTATGGTTTTCTTAATATTCCTTCTTTGATTTGGAAAAATCAAATTTTCTCTTTCTGTATTTTTTTTATATCTGTACAACCCCCATTGAAATAGGAGAGAGAAAAACCCCAGTTTTGTAGACAATGATGGCAACTGATATAATCACTATTTCCTGTATATTTACCTTAACCAAAGTCAGTTCAGAAGCCTCTTCTCCCTCCCACCTTTGAGATGGTTTTGTCACTAAAGATAGTCTTTTGATTCTCACAGTTGTACAGTTGTAATAAGAAAATTATTTTGTAATATAGTCTGAGTCTATGTCTACATAATCCCTACATACATGAGTGAAAAGTGAAGAAAACCATAATCTAATGTGTAATTTAGTACATACAATATTCTAGATAAAGATACCAAATCTTACATGTTTTATACCTCATAATTTTTACAACTGTCTTGTGAGATTGTTTTAAAGCAAAGGAAACTGAGAATTAGAGAGTCTTAAGTGATTTTCCATTGTCACAGCATGAATCATGTCATTGAAAGATTTGACTCAGACATGTATAACTTGTAACATGTAAGTGCAATAAAGAATGAAACCAGCATTCAGTGCTGGTGCCCTGTGTGTTGGCAGGGGGAGTTTAGGAGTTTACATGCAGCTGAGTCCTGAAGGACAGGTAGGATGTAGTTGGGCGGGTGTGAGTTGTGAGGGGAGAAAGGGTGGTGTGAGGACAGTCCAGAGCCCAAATATGCAGAGCATGAGGCAGAATGGAAACAGCCGTCTTTTGTACATATTTATTGAGGAATATACCAGTTCACCTGGGGAACTGCAAATATATCAAAGCACAGAGCACAGCAGAGGCCTGATGAGCAAAGGCTTTGTGTCTTTATCACAGGAGCATGATGTACTTGAGTGCTAGTGGGCAGAAGTTTTGATTGGTGGGAAAAGCCATGGAGGTTGAGACTGCTTTTAAGTGGTCCGAGATCAGATCAGAAAATACTAAGAGGTGAACCAAGGCTACGGCAGTGCAGAGATGGAAGTTGACAATTTAGGCATGTGTGTGATACTGACCTGGGTGTCTGGCTTGATGTGGCAATGTAGGGACCAATCAGAGAGAGCTTCTCTAAAGAACAACTCATTTATCTGGGATTAGAATAGCCTCATAGTGGGTATGTAGGTGGCACAGAAGGAGGTTGAAGGAAGGGTATGTTTTTAAAGGTGAAACGAGACAGATTACATAAAATAATTTGAAACAAGAATTCGTGGCTACAAAGGTCAGTAACAAGGATGTTGCCAGTCCTAGGTTAAACGGCTGCTAGGCAGGTGTTTTTGTAGAAGTGTTGTCTGTGGCAGCTTGTGGCAGCTTCTGTGATGGGTTGTGGTTCTGGCTGAGCTTTTGTGAATAGTTCTTGTGATCAAGCATAAGTGTGTGAGATCTCATTTTTTTAGACGGGATTCTCTGCTCTTTTATTTAGGACCCCAAAGTCCTTTTAATTATATGGATTATACTTATATTTAATTCCATTGAAATTTATTATATTTAATGAAATTTTAAAAATCTTTTGAAACTCATTTAAAGATGATAATTCATCTTTAATTAATATGAAATATTAATTAATATGAAAAATACATTTACTATAAAAAATAACTATTCTCCAAAACAAAAAAAGATTAGCAAGAAAAGTGGCATTTCATTTTACATATTTGTAACTCTCTTTCATGTCTGGCTTTATATAAGATATGAGTCTTTATATCTTCTGTACCCAATATGTTGCAAGTGTTATTTGTGTGTTTTTTTTCTGTTTGAGGCAAGGCCTCCTTATGTAGTACAGACTAGCCTTGAACTTGTGTAGCCCAGTCTGGTTGCAAACTTGAAGTCCTCCTGCCTCAGCCTCCTCACTGCTATGATTAGAGGTTTGCACTACCATACCTGGCACATTGTGTTTTTGATTGAAGAATAGGAAGAAAACCTTGGCTTGTACAAAAACATAATTCAAAAGGCAAGAGTTTCTATAATAGTCTTTTCAGGCAATTTGGTAATATACTAAAACTTAGTAAGTGATAATTTCCTAAAGATTAATTGAATATGGAACATAGCACCACATCAATATATTTTTCTTACTAAGGCCATTTATTTATTCTATACTTGGCTCTTCATTCAAACTTGACTTTATAATGTCATGAATGTTTATTTGAAAAGTTTTGATGTTCTGAGTATTACTATCATTTAAAAATGTTTTCACATTTCATTATAAAGCATCAAAAGTCACATTAACACATTAATTTTTTTTTGCTTTTGGAGACAGAGTCTCTCTATGGAGACCAGGCTGGGCTTCATCTAGCTGTGTAGCCCAGGCTGGCCTCAAATTCACAATTCTCCTGTCTTGTCCTCCTGAGTGCTGGGATTCCAGTGTGTGCCCCCATGCCTAGCTAAGAGTCACTTGTTAATATTACCAAAAAGCTCATTAAAAAGTCTCTATATATTGGGAAACTGTCAATGCATGGTGGTAGATACCAATTTTCTGAAATTCTCATCTTTTGCTGCAAAGCCTGACTTTTACCATTGATGGCAATCACTGCTCCTTGTTTCTCTTGTTAGTTCATTTGCAAGAAAATAGCTGTCAAATACCTAAGGTGTGTTACCACACTTTATCTATCAAACATTCTTTCAAATAAAAAACCAGCCAAGATATGAAAAACAATGGCCATTTTACCTGGCTACTAAAACAGTTGCTTAAATGCTTTTCCTCCTAACAGCTCTTGTAATTCAGAAGGAACATTTAGAACGAATTTGTTTTTACAGTGTGTGGTGGTAAAAGTGATAGTATAAAGTTTAGTACAAATATTTTGATTTGTCCTAAAGATTTTATAGTTTTATTTCTCTTGTGTACCATCAGTATAAACGTGAACAGAGAAAAAAGCAGAGATCATCTTGGTACTTTTGTAAAAATGGTTAAGTCATGACATCATGGACTCCACGAGCCCTGCGACCTCTCTTTAATAACTGCTGGCTTCAAGTCATCCTGATACAGATATATGGAGATTTCAGGCAACATTCTGCTTTTCTGAGATTTTGAAGGAAATGTATTTTAAACACGCAACAATTTTTTTAAAAATTTAGAATGTGAAAAACAGCGACATAATTTTATCTGAAATCCACATCCTTGAAATCATTTTTTAAAAATTCATTTTAGTTTAAGGTTAAAAGTATACAAGTAGCTGTTTCTACTTTTGGGTGTTGGCATTCAGTAACCCAGAATATCTTTTTTTTTTTTTTTTAATCACATTTCCAGTGCCTAACATTTGAGAGTCTGACAATGAAATCTTAGAAAATAAATCCATTCCCTTTCCAAAGTTTGTCAGAAATGCAGTCTCTTTTAGGGGTGACACATTTTGGCATTAAAATTAATCTTCAAGCAGATATCATTTCATATCTTTTTTTTTTATGGTATTGGAGTTTGAGCCCAGGGCTTTTGCCCTGAGTTACATTTCCAGCCTTTTCCTTTTCTGTCCTATCCCCTCCTTGCCTTGCCTTCTCTTCTCTTTCTTTTTCTTTTTGGAATAAAATTAGTGAGAATCTCACTAACTTGCTAAATGGCCCAAGGTTGGCTAGAACTTGTGACCCTACTGCCTCAGCCTCTCAGAGTACTGGGATGACAGATGTGTACCACCAAAACCACTTTTATTTAATGTCTCAAAGAGTCCTATATGTAACAATGACAACAAAAATTAATCCAACTATTGTTTTAGTTAGATAGTGTAGACATGGAAGGAGTCTAGGAACTCATACTCTGAAGTTAGCCAGTAAAAGAATTTCTAGTGGAGATACTTGATTACACCTTTCTTTCTTTTATTCTTGTGCATTTAAAGTAATGAAACCTTAGGGCTGGGATGTAGCTCAGAGGCACAGTGCCTGGCAAGTGTGAGGTCCTGAGTTCAATCCCTGCTAA